GGCTGGCGGCTCGCGACGTCGTGCGCGTGCAGCCCAGACAGATTATCGATTGGCCGCTGGTTGAGAAGCAATGTCGCGTGCCACGCGTCCCTGCCATCTTGCCAGTTGCACCTCGCCGAGAGCCGCCCAGAGCGAGCTTGACCAGATCTACAATGACATCAGCAGCGCGGGTTGGGCCTGACCCGGACAAGGGCCAGCGGGCGGTGGGCCGGGCGTGGGCCCGCTGGGCTGGGCGCGGCGAGGGCAGACTTTCAGGGGGTTGTTGACCGAGGCGCTCAGGCCATGCAACAATGTGGTGGGCCCATCCGAGGGCAGCGGCGAGGTTGCGCCGGGGCTCGTTCTCGCTTGGTTCGCGGCGCAGCTGCGCCGGGTCGAGGGTTTGGGCGCGCGGCGCGCGATGGGCTGCGGCGCCCGTCTCCGCTGGCTTGACAGATGCGGGCGGCGGCTGCGAGGGGCTTTCCAGAGGTGCCGAGAAGCCATGCTGCGCGCGGGCAAGTTCGGCAGCGCGCGCCACAAGTGCGACGCGACGACTACGGCGGTTGGATGTCTATGACCAGTACAGTGCTTGGCCAGGTCGAGACCGTCGACGAGCCTGCCGGTGATGTGAGGGGCATCGCGCAAGCGCCTGACGCGCGCGCGCCGCCGCTGGCGAGACGGAGCTCGCGCCCGAGCTTGCTGGGCGCGACGGTCCCCGCCCCCGAGAATGGCAGGGAGTTATATATCTGGAGAGATCCGCTGACAGAGGGCGACTTGAGGGGTTGCACGTGGGGACCGAGGGCCCAAGCGAAGGAGCTGCAGAGTGCGTGGGCGGGGCGGTGGGGCGCGCTCAGAACATATCAGCTTGCTCAGTGGCGCTCTTGGCCAGGCGCCGCGCAGAGCGGTCTGGGGGCTGGGGCGTCCGGCCGCGAGATGAGCCAGACAGGGTTGCCCCCTCCCTGCGGGCGGCGATCGCGGCCGCTATCCTGGGCGTCGGGTGCGAGCGCCGCCGGCGTGGCCTTGCCGCTGATCGGGCGCAGAGGTGTGGGCAGGGCCTTCGACGCCAAGGCTTGCCAGCCAGCCAGGGGGGGGCCGTCCTTGGCGCCTTGCGTGGCTCAGTTGCGTGGGGCCGCTCGCCGCGCTGGTCGACGTCTTCGCAGAGACAGGCGTCTTCGCTTCTGACGAGCAGGAGATGTGTACTGCGCAGTGTGGGAATCCCACAGGTGGGCGACGTTCCATCGGCGAATTTTATGGCTTGCACCGCGCATTGGGGTGGTGCCACCAGCCAGCGGGTAGAGGTCTCGCGGGGGAGGGCTGGCGCAGCCTCGGAGGCCCTGGGCAGCCCAGACAGGAGGTGGATCGACCCCGTGGCGAGGGGCGCAGTCAGGCCCGGCCCGGCCAGGCCAGGCGATCCAGGCCGGCTGCAGTCCGACACCTGGGGGCCGACCTCCGAGCTGGACAACGGCGACGTGGCCGCGCCATTCGGAGCACCCACCCTGGACCAGTTTGAGGCAGGATGTGGAGGGCAGCCATGCGAAGTTTCAGCCTGAGTGCGCAGCGATAAAGACCTTGGAGAAGACGGGGCGCATACTGCATTCGGCCATCCAGCCCATGAAGCAGTGTGGCTGGGAGGTCAGCTGCTTCGCGCTCGAGAAGATGTATGGGGATGAGGCAGGTGGCCGAGTGGGCGTGCGGGCGCTGCCGCATGTCCTCGATATTTTCGGCGCGATCTACCCAGACCTGGGCCCCGTTGGGAAGGCCGCCCGCGCGCCGCTGGGCGAGTGCGTAAAGGGGGGATGGAGGGCCCCGGGCTCGAGGCGCAAGGGTGGTAAACTGCCGTCTGCGACCGTGCTGGGGCGAGTGTCCGATCAGGCCCTCAGTGGCAGCGACGCTGGACCGCATCCGCCGTGGCGGGGTGGAAGGCTGAGGGCGCCGCCAGTTTTGCAGCCCCGCGCCGCGGCAGGCTCTCTGCTCTCGGGCGCGGCCCCAAGCGAGTGGAATAGTTCTTGCTCAAGGGCGTGATGGGCGCGGTGCGCGTGAAGTCGACAGACTGCGCGCGCGGGCGTGAGAGCTTCGCCGAGCAGGGCGAGCCCGCGATCTGGTAGGGCGGCGGCGCCAGCGCCCTCGCGTCTAAACACCTCGAGCCCCTGGGGATGTCGGCGGTGGCATCGGCCGTCGGCGAGGCCTACCTAGCGGGGTTCAAGATGGTCGAATGGGGCTATGACGAGAGCGCTGGCGACTGCAGGCGCTGTTGCGTGCCGGACAGTGTGGCGCGCCGCCCTGGAGTGCGCGCGGCCTTTGTTCAGGGTCATGAAAAAGTGATGCCGCCGCCTTCGCCGCAGGTCTCGGTGGGGGGGAGATTGCCATTGGCCCTTTTGCCCGCGAGCCCCGTTTTTCCCTTTTGGGCCGGATGCGGCCCTGCCCGAAGCATTGGCGGAATCGAGGAATCAAGATGATCAAGGAATCGATATCGCGCGTCGCGTTTCGCCATGTCCAACCCATGGCTGGAGACGGTTCAGCCACCGCTAGTGGGCGGGATGGGCGTTGGTTCATAGGAAGGGGTGGGGTCATGCGTGAGTTCTGGGCCCCCATCGCATCTCAGCTCCCTCCCCCTCTCGCGCTGTTGAGCTCCAGGCTTTCGCTATGGGGGCTGAGTGCGGTGATGGGGGCCGGAGCTACAATGGAGATATTGCGGCTGTGCTGGTAGCCTTTGCGCGCGGCGTCGCGTGCACCTCTCGTCCAGCGTGCCTTGGCGCTGGGCATTGGCGCCGCGTGCGCTGCGGCGACCTCGCGTGCAGTGCGACTGTCAAGGTCAAGTTGCACAACGACGTCCCGACCGCCCCCTAGAGGGAGGGTGAGTGGCGGGCCGTCCTGAGTTCGTGGTCGGACGAAGTGACGAAGGCAACCCCCAACCTGTGGCCGTGTCAGGCCCTGGAAGGGGTGCGCCTGGAGGATGGATTGTCGGAGGTTCGGCGTGGGCTGATGAACCTGGGGCGTGTGCTGGCGTGTGGGCCCGCTCCCACGTTTGAGCGGGCTCACTTGCCGCCGCGCGAGAGACCTTCCACGGCCGAGCGAGTAACCATGTTTTCAGAAACGCGGTCTGCACGAGGTGGCCGACGGCGCTGGCGTTGCGTTCAGTGCTTGCATGGCTTCTTCAGCTGGAACGCTGGGGTGGCCTCTGAATGTGGGGTCGCGGCGCCAAGGAGCTGGCGTGGGCGGCGTGAGCACACGGATTCGCTTGTGCTGTGGGGTGTGGTGGTTGGCCCCAAGAGCACACCGCCATAACGCGGTCACTTTGTTATGTGCCGAGTCGGGTGGCACAGAAGTGCCATACCCAGCGCCCATGGTATTCTCTTTGACAAAATGGGCAAGGAACGGCGGGGCCGTTTCGAGCGTGGCCTCTATACCCGCACTGGGAGGAAGGGGTTGGTCTTGGAGAGCCAGGCTCTCCGTAATCTGGGTATCTCACACTCGAGTGTGAGAGCACTGCGCAGTGCACCTGTGCGGCTGGCTCTTTCGGCGCCCGTGGGCGGGGCGCAGCAACCCCCTCCTTCACCACCTCCCTTCTGCTCCACCTCGATGATGGTGATCATCGTCATCACCATCATCAGCATCGTCACCATCATCCTCATCATCATCAGCATCATCAGCATCATCATTATCATCACTATCATCACTATCATCATCATCATCGTCACTATCATCATCATCATCATCATTATTATTATCATTATCATTATCATTATCATTATCATTATCATTATCATTATCATTATCATTATCATTATCATTATCATTATCATTATCATTATCATTATCATTATCATTATCATTATCATTATCATCATCATCATCGGCATCATCGGTATCATCATCATCATCATCATCATCATCATCATCATCATCATCATCATCATCATCATCATCATCATAATCAGCATCATCATCATCATCATCACCGTCTTCGCCATTGTGATCACCAATGTCCCCCCATCCGGCACTTCAGCTGCTTCTCGATCCAGGCCAGGTGGCGTGACGTGCATCCTGCGGCGGCCCCTATTCTGCGCCTATCGGGCGGCCGCTCTCTTCCCCACTCGTTGCGCAAGGACGCGGCGACGGCGGCGGCGGCAGCGACGACGCTGACGACGATGGTGTTGTCGTTGGCGTTGGTACTGGCGTTGGCGTTGCCTGTCTCGCCTTGAGTTCGCCCTTCCCTCGTTCGACTGTGCTGGCCGAGCTCGGCCCATCCAGGGCCTCAGGGATACCAAGAGGCGGTCTCCCTGAGGCGACGGAAGAAGCGCGATGACCATGACCAAGATGTCGCTGGATCCAGTCGGCGCCGATCTTGATCATGGTCCGTGCCGGCTGTGGTAGATTTTCGAGGATGACCCGCGAATTGTTGATGATCATGGCGGATCATGGTCAATATTGACCGATGGTTGCTTCGTATAGGGGCCCCTTAGGGGGGTCCCCCCCAGACCTCCCCAAATTAGAAGGGTGACCTCCCCGAGACCTTCCCCCGCTTTCGGGGGACTCCTTCCCCGAGGCCTCCCGACAGAGAGTGAGCCTGGCTCACCTCAGCTTATTTGCAGTGTCTGTTGTGCACACCAGGCTCGCTTGGCTGCGTGGCCTGTCGTCCAGTCGTAGTCTGGCGCGCAGTAGCTTCACTTCAACTTTGGGTGTAATTTTGACGCATCTTCACTCGGTTTAGCTCAGCTCGACTCGGTTCAGATCAGACGAGCCGACTGCACCTTTTCAAACAACGATGTTGTTACAGTGGGGGCTTGGGGTTTCGATCCTTCTGTAATTCATGTCATCCGCGAAGAGGTCCTGCGCTCACAGCACGGCTCTGGACTGGTCAAGGTGGCCGTCTCCTGCTCCCTTCTCCTGCCAGAGCTCACTGGAACAGGGATCTGGAGTGATTCGCCGATTCGGATTGTAGGATCTGGTTGCGTCTCAGAGGCTTCGAGTGGGAGGAGTTGAGCACCTGCCCTGTGCCGGGGATTGCCTCACGGGACTGGGAGGCTTCCTGACCAAGTGGCACTCGCGGCGTGCCTGGATCCTGGACTTGGACCCGCCGAGCCGCGCAGCGATGGCCGCGCCCTCAGTGAGGAGGGCTTCGGAGAGGAAGAGGGGGCGGGAGGAGAAGGAGGAGGAGGTTGCCGATGTGCCAGAAGTTATGTTTGTCATGGTCCCAGTCACTGCAACATCGAAGAGGCGGGTGCTTCTCCATCCATCGGGGCCGATATGTGTCCACGCCAACTGACTCGAGCAGCGCATTCACATCCGCTCCAGAGTTCCAACTTCTTGATTTTTCAAAAGGGGGTCCCTGGAAGTCCTGACCTTCTCCCCAGGGCCTTCCTTCTCTTCATGCCGAATCGTTTTTGGATGGTCCTGATGCCCAGCGAAGGCCCCCAGGGGCCGAAACCGGCAAAGGACCCCCATACACACATATATATGTATATATATATATATATATATATATATATATATATATGCTCACCCCACCTCTAAGATCCACCTTTTCCGTGTCCTGTTCCAGTCATCCCCTCCTCCTCCTTCTCCTCCTTTCTTCCTCATTCTCTCCTTCCCCTCCGTTGTCCCCGTCTTCATCGTTCCCACTTGCGTCGTTTGTCCGCGGTGAATATGGAGCACAGATGAAGCGCATCTACTGCATTGAGTATTTGAATTTACCAGCGCCCCCAAACTACAGCTGACGGAAGAGAAGGAGGAGTGTAACGCTCCAGATCACCTAGGGGCGAAATACTCCAGCCAGATGCGGGGTGAAATGCTCCAGGGGGGCGGAGTGCTTCAGATCATGCAGGGGCGAAATGCTTCAGTCAGATATGGGGCGGCATGCTCCAAGGGGCGCAGTGCTCCAGATCACGTAGGGGCGAACTGTTCCAAATCACGCGGGGGCGAAATGCTCCAGCCAGATACGGGGCGAAATGCTCCAGGGGGCGTAAAGCTCACACCAGTCGGGGGCGAAGCAATCCCAGGCCAACGGGAGATGAAATGCCGATGGGGTTGACCTCACGGGCGGACTACTTCCTGACCGCGCGGGGCGAACTGATAACGAACGGGTCAAGTGGGAGCAGTGGGGCGGTGTCATCGAAAGGGGCAACCGCAATACATTGGTTCTGACGCTCCTCAAGCCAACTCTCACCAAGCAGTGGGCGCCAGGCCCAGGGGCGATACGCTTGCCGGTTTGGACGCCGTTCGCTCACAAGAACTTGAGAGGAACGTTGTGCTCCACGCGGACGGGGCAGCAACGTGCGAGGTCCAGGTCGAAAGGATGCTCCACGAACACGTCGTGCACCAGAGGAAGCGGCCCATGAAGAGTGGCGAGCCCGTGAAGAAGAACGGCCGCCAGGTGTGGGTGAAACCCACGTACGCCAAGACATTCCAACATACACTTCCTGGCGGATGAGTCCTCGAGTGCAAGGGCGGGACCCAGATCATCGACAGGTTCTGGCAGCACTTGCGCGGCTTCATCAAGACCAGGAAGTCTTCGGTGGGCTCGATGTCATTGAACGCCAGGGTCCGATCCGCCCAGTGGGCGTACTGGCGCGCCAACGAGGACCTGTGGCTGGAGACTGGCCGTTTTGTCGGCCGCCTGAGGGGGAATGGCACCGCGTAGCGGTGGTTGTTTGTAGACAGCAGGCATTGGGGCGCGCGGCATGGCGCTTATGAGTAGGCGATGTCGTGCGCGCAACCACAAACGCATTGCGCAACAGACAAACCTTTGAGCTCACGAAACCTGGCCAGGTTCTCTTGCTTCGGCGCCCAGGAAACTTTGCGAGGCGTGTAGTTTGGTTTTCTATTGTTTGGTGGCTCGCGTTACCTGGCAAAGCTTTGGTCTGTTTGTTTTCTTTGGTATAAGAGCCCGCGAAACCATGCCGGGCCCTTTTGGCTTCCAGGGAACTTGGCCAGGCGTTTTTTTTGTTGGGTGGGGGCTCAGACAATCTGGCCAGGCGTTGGTTTTTCTATCGCGAAACCTGGCTTGGTGATTGTGCGACTTGTACTTCGTTGCCGCCAGGCCGCCGGACCAGAAACACCCGAAAAACCCGTGAACTCAGGGGTCTTCTGAGCTCCCACGCCAGAGCAATAAGAACACTAGTGGTAACATATATTTTCCTTTCTCCCAGACCTGAAGAAAAATTCAGACACATCAGCGACACCACAAGTTTTCCTTCCTCCCAAGCCAAGAAAATCAGAAAATCCATTGACATCGCAGGTTTTCGTTCCTCCCAGACCAGAAAAATCAGGGAAAAACAATGAAATCACATGTTTCCCTTTCTCCCAGACCTCTGTCCGAGTTCTCTCTGCAAGGTTGTAATGGTAGTTCTCTCGCCTTTGTGCAGCGCTGCGCCAGCGAAGAAGGGGCGGGGAAGAGGCGAGGACAGACAGGCAACTTGAATTTTCATTTAAGAACCCTCCAAAAGGTGGATCTTGGGGGGTGCGACCATGTAGGTATGTGTGTATATGTATATAGATATGTATGTATGTATGTATGTATGTATGTATGTATGTATGTATGTATGTATGTATGTGTGTGTATGTATGTATGTATGTATGTATGCATTTATGTATGTATGTATGTATGTATGTATATATATGCATACATACATATGTGCATATGTATGTATGTATGTATGTATATATATGTATATATATAAACATGTACAGCTATATATACACATATATACACATAGTTATCTCTTTCTCCCAAACCCTCCTCCGTTGGGTTCTCGTGTTGGATAGGGCACTGCGATCGCACACCTCCCGCCTCCCTCCTCCTCTCTTGCCTGCTATCACACTGCCTCTTCTCTCCTGCCTTCTACCTGGCTTGTACCTGCCGGTCAGCCTGCCTCTTACCCCGCCGTTCTGCGAAACTGTCGCCACTGTCGAGGGCTGCTGGGGGGCCCTGCGGAGTGATGCCCCGCGCAAACCTAAATGGGACCTCGCCATCCCTGAGGGGTCGCGGTCCGCGAAACTGTCGCCAGTTTCGACGGCTGCTGGGGTGTCCAGCGGAACGGCGCCCCACGCAAACCTACATTGGACCTCGCCATCCCTGTGGGGCTGCGATCTGCGAAACTGTCGCCACTTTCGAGGGCTGCTGGGGGGTCCAGCGGAGTGACGCCCGTCGCAAACGTAACTTAGATCTCGCCATCCCTGTGGGGCTGCGATATGCGAAACGGTTGCCGCTTCGAGGGATGCTGGGTGGTCCAGCGGAACGACGCCCCACGCAGACCTCAATTCGACCTTCCCAGCCCTGTGGGGCTGCGGTCTGCGAAACTGTCGCCACTTTCGAAGGCTGCTGGGTGTTCTGCTGGCTTTGCAATCGCACTCGAAGTTGACGCGAAGTTTTTGGATACCTCAGGTTGCAACCCTCCTGAGGACCCTGCGAGCTTCAAGTCGGGCCCTGCACGAAGAAACATTTGTACAAGCAGCATATACATGGTGACCACCCCGCGTGGGATCTGAAGAAGAACTCTCTTTTGAGGCCGCCTTGGTTCTCTCTTGGGCCTTCTTGGGTTTTCTACAAGGACCCGGAACTCAACACACATTCAACACACTACGCTCTCCAATGAGGAGGCGGTTTGTCTTAAGTGTGTGTGTGTGTGTGTGTGCTGAATTCTTGGCCCTTTTGGAGGCCTCTTAAGGCCCTCAATGGGGGCCCCCGCAGGGACCCAAGCGGGCCCATGGGGGCCCCAAGAGGGCCCCAAGATGGCTCCAACAGGGCCCAGCATTTTAACACACATTTATTAACACAAGACGTCCTCCAAGAAGGAGTCGGTGTGTGTGTGTGTGTGGGTGTATTTACAACTTGTGTTGAATTCTTGGCCTCTCGGAGGCTACTTCAGTTCTTTCAGAGGGCCCCCGCAGGGCCCCAAGAGGCCCAGGACGGCCCTTAGAGGGCCCCGAGATGGTTCCAAGAGGGTCCGACATTCAACACTGCACCAGCACCAGCACCACGGGCAGCCCAGGCAGCGCCAGCAGCATCAACGCCAGCAGCAACAGCAACACCTGTAGCAACAACAACGAGAGAGGCAGCAACGGAAAGCTGATTCCGAGATGGACCCAAACGGGTTTTGAAAGGATCACAAGATTACCCCTGTCGCCCCAAGATGCCCATCCCTGCTAAGCAATGGCCCCAGTATGACCCCAGAGCGACCCTGCGGCCCCAAGAAGAGAACACCGAGACGAACCCATTGTCTCCCAACTTAACTAAGGCTACCGCGTGACCCCGACTGTACTCCGAGGTGGCCCCGGGACGACCCCTTGAGTCCGAGACGGTTTCGAGATATGGCTCCAAGATGACTCCGATGCGTTTCTTCCCTCCGCCCTTGCTCTTGGCTTGGGCCGATAGGACGGATGTGGGTGCTGGCCTTCCACCCCCTCGTCGTCGTCGTCTTCTTCTTCCTCCCCCTAGTCGCCCTCGTCGTCGTCGTCGTCGTCGCTGTCCGCCTGGCCCCGTTGGCCTCATATATAGTAGAAACCTGAACCCCCAACACAAACCGAACCCGTCTATTCTCTGATATGATGACGACGATGCTGATGATGTTGCTGATGATGATGGTGATGATGATGCCGACGACGACGAGGACGAGGATGATTATGATTATGATGCTGATGATTCTGGTGGTGCTGATGATGATGTTGTTGATGGTGATGATCGTTATGACGGCGAGGATATATCACCGTTACGAGGACACCGACGACATACGACGATTATGCTGATGATGCTGATGATGATGTTAATGACGACGATGATGATGATGCTGCTGCTGATGATGATGATGATGATGATGATGATGATGCTGATTATGATGATGATGACGACGAGGATGATTCTGATGATGATGAAGCTGCTGCTGCTGATGTTGATGAAGGTGGTGGTGGTGGTGATGATGATGCTGTTGATGGTGGTGATTGTGATGGCGGCGATGGTGTACTACAATTTTGAGGAAACCGACGAAACCCGACAATGCTGTTCATGATGATGCTGATGATGCTGGTGATGATGATGATGATGATGATGATGCTGCTGCTGATGATGATGATGACGATGCTGCTGGTGATGATGATGCTGATGATGATGGTGCTGCTGATGCTGATGCTGTTGCTGATGTTGATGCTGATGATGATGCGGATGCTGATACTGATGCTGATGCTGGTGACGGTGATGCTGATTATGCTGATTATGCTGTTGATGATGCTGCTGCTGATGATGATGATGGCGATGGTGGTGGTGGTGGTCGTGGTGGTGATCATGATGCTGATGCTGCTGATGATGCTCATGATGATGATGTGATGATGATGCTGATTATGATGATGATGAAGATGCTGATGGTGATGGTGGTGATGATGCTGCTGCTGATGATGAAGCTGCTGATGATGATGAAGCTGATGATGATGACGATGATGATGATGATGATGATGATGATGAGGATCATGATGATGATGATGATGATGATGATGATGATGATCATGATGATGTTGATGATGATGATGATGATGATGATGATGATGATGATGATGATGATGATTCTGATGATGATGATGATGATGATGATGATGATGATGATGAGGATGAGGATGAGGATGATGATGATGATGATGATGATGATGATGATGATGATGATGATGATGATGAGACCGCCACACATTCATCAAGACCGAGTGCAATGGTGGAGAAGATGTCATAACAAAGTAGCAGACGGCCTGGCGAATTACACGATGGACGCCTGGAGAACATGGCAGAAGAGTTTCACCACCACGATGTGTATACAGAGCGCCAACGTGATAATCCAAACAGATGGTGGACTTCGTGATGGTGATTGCGCAGCTGCTGCGTGGATTATCGGACTTTGGGGCCGGATCGACGGGCAGGGCTGTTATGAACCGCTGATGGTGCATGGTACCTTCCTGGAGTTACCGTGCACAGTCTTCCGTGCTAAGGCCATTGCTTTGGACGAGGCCTCTAGAGTCTCTAGAGCAGCCCACGCAATTCTCACCCAGTAGCGTACGAAAAGCTGGAACTGTAAGTTTCTTGAGCTTGAACGAAGGAAAGAATATGATAATGATGATGATGACGATGATGATGATGATGATGATGATGATGAGTATGATGATGATGATGATGATGATGGTGGTGATGATGGTGATGATGGCGGTGGTGATGATGATTACGATGATGATTGATGATGATGGTGATGATGGTGATGATGATGATGATGGTGATGATGATGTTGTTGGTGATGATGATGATGATGATGATGATGATGATGACGGTGTGATGATGATGATGATGATGGTGGGTGATGGTGATGAGGATGATGATGACGAGGATCAGGACGATGGGACGGACGACCAGGACCTCGTGGAGCAGGACCAGGAGCAGGGGTTGAACACGAGGAGAGATGATCAGGGGCTTTCTGGTGCGTCCGATCGTCTGCGTCCCAAGGTCATGACAACGGAGTACGAGCGCAAGCTTTTGCTATGGCTGACCTGGATGAACTTATTCTTCTTTCCGATCAGCCTCTGGCTCTTTGGAGTGCCCGCAACCTTTGCGAATCATTTTACCCTCGCTTGCGCGCTCGATGCCGCTGTCACCCCATCATGTATTTTCCCACTCTGCCTCTCATGACGCTACTTCTCAACGCATCCCCCCTCTCGACTTAGTTCTTTTAGTAGTTTCCCTCCGACACATCGCACGAACGTGTTGGCATGGGGTGGCGTCGGTTGAGACGAGTTTCCACTTTGCTGGATGGCAGTAGCAGGCTTTGACTTCATGGTGGTGGTGGTAACCTCTGCCCTTGTGACAGAGGTTTGGCAGGACATGTCTTCCAGCACTTGAATGCGTCTCACAAACGCCCTTCTTACGTCGAGCTCCTCAGCAGTTCGGTTTTCATGGTCGGCATGCTGTCGCCTTGCTCGTCGCATACCGCGTTTCGCATTGAACGATTTCGAAGCGTGTGCCAGTCTTTTGCAGGAGCCTCACCTCATGGTCGTCTTATCTTTCAGTGCGTATACGTCTGTCTCACGCCAGAGGTGAACTTTCGTAGCGGCGGGAACGTGCGCGGTGATATTTGCGCATAGACACTAAGCAGTTGTTACGTGGCAAAGTAACGCTGCATATGAACATAAGAACACTGCACATTCGCATGCATGGTATAATCAGCATGCCAAGTCTTGTGCTGCCGCAGAGAGGCGTGGGCTCGGGGTCCTGATAGCAACGTAGTCGGGCCAGGCAGGCGGCTGGTAGGGGTAAGCGGTGGCTGGCGCTCGCCATCATCGGCGCAAGAGGGGCTAGGTGGGCATGGGCGGCAATCCGCGGTTCTGGCCACAGCCAGGGGTAGCAGGGCTGGAGTCAGGGCCAGGGCTAAGTAGGTAAGGCCAGCCACGGCCAGGGGGGGCAGTGATGACACGCTTTCACCAAAAACAAAGCACGGTGGGGGCTGATGGCGGCAGCCACTGCTCCTGGGGCAATTCCAGGCCAGCAGGGTCTTCAGGGGCGGGGCCTGACTGGGCGACGTAGCCAGTGATGGTGACTGTCGCTCTTCTCCAGCGAGGCTCTGCCTGAGGGCCGCGGCTTGTGCAAGAGTTCGGGGGCTGCCAACGGGGTGGTGAGGGGGGGGGGGATATCCTGGCTTGGGCCGTCGAGTGTTCCAGGATTTCATGGACCCTGCTGTCATTTGAATCCGTCTTTTGGCCACCCTGGGCCGCGCACGTGCCTCGGGCCATGATTTTCGAGCCCCCCTCTTGGACGCCCCCCCTCTCGGATGCCTCCTGATAGTGCTGGTGGTGACAGCAGCGTGAGGCCGAGTTCCCTGAGGAGACCCTGACGCCGGATTTCCTCGGGGGTGCTCCCGTGCTCCGCTGCTCGAGGGCTTCGGCCCTTGGAGGGCAGCCTCGGGCGAGGTCGGCCGCAGTCGGAGTCGAGTCGGCCGTGGCGTCCTCGGCGCCTCTGCCCAGGCAGGGTTGGAGCCCGGAGGAGGGGGGGAGGAGCCGAGCGCGCCTCTCGCCCGGTCTCGATGAGAATCGAGTGCGCGCGTGGGCTCGCAGGGGGAGCGCGGCGCGCGCCCGTGCAGGGCTCCCTTGTTGGAGTTCAGAGCGAGACGCCTCCAGGCGACGACGGGGGAAGCCGCGTCCCACGACGAACCAGCCCGAGGATGCGAGGGGAGGGTCGCCTCACCTTCCCCGACCCGTTCAGGTTCTGGTTCGGCCAGTTCACGCACCTGTCGGCAGAGCCCTCAGAACCGTGCTCTCGGGTGTCGTGCCCTCCGATCGCCGGCCGATTGTGTGTGAGATCATGGATGTTTCCTGCTGGAGCTTGGAGGCTTTCTCTTGTGGCGAAAGGCGCACATCATGCCAGCCCACGGCCAGACGAAGCCGACGACGAGCGCGACGAAAACGACGACGCAAGACATGGCCAGCTTCACTCGAAAGACATGCCGAACGCAGGCTGAAGATGCCACGTGCCCACTGCAGACGGCGAGGGTGCCAACGAACAGCCAGACACATAGAGACACAGACGGTGCGCGGAAGGCGAGTGGAAAGTAGGCTGCGCATCTGCGAAGGACCACTCGTCTTGCGGCTCCCGCTGCTTCTTTCCTCGGCCTCGTTCTCGTCGTCCTCCTCTCCCTTCCCGTCCTCGTCCTCGTCCTTGCCCTAGTCCTCGTCCTCGTCCTCGTCAGGCGAGGTACCGCGCAGTACGCTGGACCCTCACATGAGCCTTGCGCAGCCGGCAGCATTCAGGGGTAGGGGAGGTCTCGCTCGGGTCTGCGTAGCACCGCAGTCCGCGGCACCCCCCACGAGCTCACGGGAGTGGCGACACTTGCCCAGTTGGCATCGTCTGAGGAGGGCGAGGACTCGTTTGGGTCTGCGTAGCACCGCACTCCGCGGCACCCCCCACGAGCTCACGGGAGTGGCGACACTTGCCCAGTTGGCATCGTCTGAGGAGGGCGACGACTCGTTTGGGCATGCGTATACCACACTTCGCTGGACCCCCCAGGAGCTCACAGAAGTGCTGACATGTACGCAGTAGCAGTCTGCAGCACCCACGGAGGCAAGGCTTGATTTTGATCTGGGGAGCCCCGCTGGGCCCCCTACGAGCTCAGGAAACTGGCGACACTTGCGCAATTGCCAGCTCCCGGCAGGGCGACGTGTCATTCTGATTTGGGTAGCACCGGGCTTCGCTGGACCCACGGGCTCACGAAAGGAGTGACAGATCAGGGCAGCACCGTACCTCGCTGGACCCCCCATGAGTTCACGGAAGTGGCGACATTTGAGTAGTTGTCTGCTTCCAGAGAGGCGAGGTCTCAGTCATATTTTGGTAGTCGGACCGCTGGACACCTCCATGAGCTCACCATAGTGGCGGCAGTTATGCAGTCGGAAACACCAAGTGAAATGAGGTTCCGATCTGATTTTGGTAGCACCGTGGCCCGTTGGACCCCCTCACGAGCTCCCGAATGTGGGGACAGTTGCACACTTGGCAGCAACTAGGGAGGCGAGGCTTCAGTCTGATCAAGGAAGCACCGCACTCCTCTGGACCCCAGGAGTTTAAGATAATGGCGGCATGTGCACATTTGGCTGCACATATAGAGGCGATGTCTCATTCTGGTGTGGGTAACACTGCGCCCCGCTGGGTTCCCTGGCGACAGTTGCGCAGTGGGAACTCCAGGCAGTGCGAGGTCTCATTTTGATTTTCTTAGCACCGCTCGACGCTGGACCACCCACGACCGCAAGGGGTGACATATGTGTAGTCGGCAGCACCTAGAGATCTCACAAAGTGGCGACACTCGCACAGTTGGCAGCGCCAAGGAATAGCGAGGCAGGGGAAGCGAAGAGCAACAATCGGAGAGGAAACGGAGAGGCAGCGAGGAAGAAACGAAAAGGAGGGAGGAAGAGAGGAATCGGGAGGAAGGATAAGGAGCAGCAGCTGCCTTTTCATTCAAAGCGATGATCAAACACGGAAGGGTTAGGAATAATCAAACTCCCGATCAGCAGTTGTGGCGACGAGGGGTGGTGTAGTAGTGGTTCTCAGGTGCGCGTCATCCCGCCAGAGAGATCTTTGTGCCGATCCGACCCGATGGTGTTTGTACCCGTTCTCAGAGCATGCTCTCGCTGAAGGCCGGTCTGGAAATAAGCCTACCCGCGCGGAGGCCAAGCCGCCGATTCCCTTGATGCCCGAGTACCAGTATTTCAACGGCCGCAAGCGCGACTTCAGCTTTCACGGAGGCTGCACGGGGGCGCAGTGAACCCCGTTTCTTTCGGCGGCGCGTCCAGGGGGGGGCAGGCAGAGGGGATGGCTCCGTCTCGGAAGCGTCAGAAGGCGCTCGGCCTTCAGAGGGGGTGGCCCCCGTCTCGGGAGGGTCAGATGGCGCTCGGCCTTCATAGGAGCTTCCTAGGCCTGCTCGGGAGCCGCAGGTGGCTTCCCAGAAGGCTGGGAGGCCTCCGAGAGGCCCCGCCGCCTCTGAAGCAGTCCCGCCCTCTCGCGCACTTCCCCCTCCTCGGCACGCCGCCGAGCTCGGGAAAGGCAGCTTCGAAGCAGCAGTGCCGATTTCGGGACCTCTCGGGCCGCGCCTCGTCGCACCAGCTGGTCCCAGCCTTCGGGGGTGGACAGACCTCCTACCCTGACACGTCGATTAAGGAATTGGCCGTTTTCGGTTCGCGAGAGGGCGTCGCGGCCTTCACTTTTGCGGGTCCAGGTCCGTCGGTTTCGGTCCTAGGCCGTTTTCAATAGGAGGTTTACTAAGGGGAGGTTTGTCCATCGCCGAAGCCCGAGATGGTGGCGCGGGAGGGCTGGATGATGACTCAGTGTGCCATGGTGGCAGCGGCAGCGATGTTGCCCGTTCTCGAGCAATGCTCTGTGAGGGGTCGTTGGGCTGGTGCGGACGCTGGGTTGCCACCTTGGCGGAGTCGGATGTTCTCGGCTTTAGGATCCAGCAGTTGACCGCTGGGCATGGCTTTGTTCGCCCAAGCTCAGACTGAGCACACCCAGCAGGTTGTAATATCGCGTGGGCGTGGGTGAAGGTCGGGAGGAGGAGGAGGAGGAGGAGGAGGATGATGAAGAAGAAGAAGAAGCGGAACAATAGGAATACGAAGAGGAATACTAAAACGAATACCAGGCATACTAATAATACCATTAAGAATAATACGACGACGATATCATCACCATCATCCTACTATTGGTACTATTAGTGAAACTACGAATACTGGTACTACTACGAACAGAAACAATACTAATACTAGTGGTTCTATCAAGAGGCACACTGATTATATTACGGGTGTGCATGATGCCACTACGGTCTTACTAATATCAATATGAAGACGACTAATTCAGTTACTACGAGTACGAATCATACCACTTCTAATAACACTACACATGCGACGCATACGAATACACTAACACTAAGCCGACTCATACGACTGCTAATATTACTACGGCTACGAAGCATATGCTGAGGCTACTACGACGACGAATACAGCGAGTGAGTACACTGATGATGCTGACGATGATGATGATGCTGTTGTTGGTGATGATGATGAATACGATGATGACGATGAAGATGCTGATGACGATGATGACGATGATGATATGATGATGTTGCTGCTGCTGATGATGATGCTGATGCTGATGATGATTTTGCTGATGACGAGGATGCTGCTACTGCTGATGATGATGACGATGCTGATGCTGATGCTGATGATGATGCTGCTGATGATGCTGTTGATGACGATGCTGCTGATGATGATGCTGATGATGATGCTGATTATGATGATGATGCTGGTGATGCTGCTGATGATGCTGATGCTGATGATGATGCTGATGATGATGATGATGGTGATGATGACGATGATGATGATTATGCTGACGCTGATGATGATGATAATGGTGATGATGACGATGATCATGACGATGATGATGCTGCTGCTGATGATAATAATGATGATGATGCTGACTGTGATGATGGTGCTGCTGCTGCTGATGAGGATGCTGATGATGCTGATGATGACGATGATGATGAGGATGCTGATGATGAGGATGCTGCTGATGATGATGATGATGCTGTTGCTGATGATGATGAGGGGATGATGATGATGATGATGATGATGATGATGATGATGATGATGATGATGATGATGATGATGAGGATGGCGATGATGATGATGATGATGCTGCTGCTGATGATGATGATGATGATGATGATGATGATGATGATGGATGCTGCTGATGATGATGAGGAGGAGGAGGAGGACGAGGAGGAGGACGAGAACGAGGACGACGAGGATGACGAGGACCAGTGTAAATTAAATATGCATCACCGGTGCCACAATACACCCTCCTCCTGAGATCCATTTTTATAGGCCCTTGTAACTTGTTGTCATTCGCGGGAACTGCTCCGTTGGAAAGCAAGTAAGTGAGAATCCTCAATCGTGCCAAAGCACCCTTCCTTGGACTTCAACGCCGCGGATCAGCGCGACTGCCGCGTCCTGACAATCATAGATCGTGCCAGAACACCGCTCCCGGGACTGCAACGCAGCGAAACAACGGGATTGTTGCGCCCTGACAACCCTAGATCGTGCCTGAACACCATTCTTGTGACTTCGACCATCGGAACCCCTGAAGCTGTTGCAAGCTTGTCAGACTGACTGTGCGCGGCGCTGCGGAGAGAACCACATTTTGAAGGCAACCCGCCGTCCATCCGTGAAGCTGTTGCACACTTTTTCTGACGAGTGGGCGTGTCGATAAGGCAAGAGCCACATGTTGAAAACGACTGGCCCTCCATCCGTGAAACTGCTGCCAGCTTTTCAGACTAGTGTGCGTGGCGGTGAGGCGAGAGCCACGTTTTGAAAACCACCCGCTCTTCATCCGTGAATTTGCCGCAAACTTAAGACGAAGGCGCGCGGCGGAAAGGCGAGAGCCACGTTTTGACAACGACTCGCCCTCCATCCGAGAAGCTGTTGCACGTTGCAAGCTTGGGGATCCTGAATGGCGAAGAAGTTTCAGGCGAAACGCATAGCCCGCCCTATGGACACGTCTGGGGGTGTGACTCGCGACAGGGAGGAGGAGGAGTTATATGTAAGGAATGCGGTTGAGGAGATGGGAGGAGGAGAGGGGGGTGCGAGCTTCAGGGGCTTCCACGGTCTCCAGGTACCTTTGGGCTCTCCCCATAGAGGGTCGTGCGAGACTGCAGGACGGCCTTGGCCGACTAGATGCATAGCGGGCGGCAGGGTTGTCCCCCCCCCCCGTGGAGGCAGTCCGCCAGGCGCGGCTCGCAGAACCCGTCGAGATGGTGCCCAGGAAATGCGTGAGGCCACTCTGCTCAGACATCCTCCGACCTGATTTTTGCAATCCGCGGCCCCTGAGGTCCCGACTCCTTCCCTGGGGGTAGTTTCCCCCCCCGTATCCAGTTTTGATGGTCCCGGGGCCCGAGAACGGGCCCCGGAGGCCGAAATCGGTGAAAAACCGCCGGATTGATAAAATCATGTGGTCGGACCGGAGTGAAAGATCAAGGTCGGTTCGGGGAGGGTACCCTAATGTTCTTCGTGCTTGTTGGATGGTCATGTGCATCCTGGGGGATGGGCACCCTCGCATGATCTTCAGTTTGGCCGGCGGAGGGTCTCGTGTTCTTGAAGGATGTTCTTCTGTCCTAGGTCCGGCCGTATCTCAATCACCTGGCCTTCTGAGAAGTTTTCTAAGCCTTCCCCGAAGACGCAGAAAGCTTCCCAGAAGGCCGGAGGGCCTTTGAGAAGCCCCGCCGCCTTCTGAGAAAGGGAAGGCCTTCTTCTCCTTCTCACTTCCCCCCCTCGCTCGCCGCCGCCGGCCGTACCCTCGGAGGTCTGGGTTTGGAGTCGAGCGTGAGCGGAGACGCCACGGCCGAGCAGCCACGTCTCTCTTGGCACCGCTCCGCTCTCGCAGCGCTGGCCGCCCTCGCCCCGGCCGGCGCCACGCGCGTGCTCGGTCCGTCCTCCCGGCCCGCGGGCTCCCTCTCTTCAGCCACGCGCAGCGGGGGGGTAGGGGAATGGGGAGACGGCTTTTTAGAGCTTAGGCCTCCCAGATGGGGTCGCGGGATCGCGCCGTATCGTCGATGCATCGGCGATGCGGCTCGATATGGAGCTGGATTTTCTCCACGCTGGCGTTGCCGATGTATCGCCGATGTATCGCCGATGTATCGCCGATGCGGCGCGGTCCTCCGACCCGATCTGCTCCGCCCCCATTTAGGAGGCCTTTTATAGAAGCACCCCTGCTTCTGTGAAGGCGCGGGCCGTGTCTACAGATGTAGGGCCGGCGCCTTCTAAGAAGCAGCCTCCTTCTAAGAAGCCCTCCCCCTCCCCCACCCCCTTGTGCACGCCGTCAATTTCTGATGCGCGCGGGAGCTTTTCTGCAGCGTCCTCTTGCGGGGGTCCCACGTGCTCGCCATGGGGGACGCGGGTCCTGAGGGAAACGGGTTCTGAGGCTTTTTGCCGTTTTCGGGCTCTTGGGGCCCTCGAGAACGACCCAGGATGTTGGTCCCGGGGGAAGGCCCAGGGTCCAGGACCCGTTTCCCTCGGGACTCCCCCATGCTCAGCGTGCAGGGCGAGGGAGAGCTCGGGCATCGGACGTGCTCGCGCCACCTGGACAGCCTGACTGGCGGAGGGGCAGCCGTGGCAGAGGAGAGCCGTGCGAGGACGCCCCCCGAGGCCCCGCAGTTCGGACGCTACCGTCGGCCCTGATCAGCAGGTCGACCCTGCCAAGTCAAGGGTACCCTTTTGTGTCCTGTGTCGCGCGACCCGTGCCCTCGGAAAGGGTGTGTGCCCCTGAGTCGCGCGACCCATGCCTCCTGCATTCCTATGGCAGTGTGCCCCTCGGAAAGGGTCTTTGGTCCTCTCGCGTGTCCTCTGCAGTCAGGTCCGACTGTAAGGCAGGGGCCGCTTTTGGCTCTCGGTCGGGGAGCCTATCCGTGGTCGGGCCTCGCCGTGGCCGGAGGGGCCTCTCTTCGCTCGCTCCGCCAGGGCCTCTCTGACGGCAGCGCGACGGCCGCGCGGCAGAGCAGGGGGGCCTCCCGGCTGAGCCTTGAGCCGCGGCCGGTTCCCACGGGCAGAGCAGAGTGGTAGCTTCGGGCGCAGCGCGTTTCGGCGGCGAGCCAGGAGAAGGAGAATGCTTTCTCAGAAGGCTCGGAAGTCCCCCGGCACTGTGAGGAGTTTTCGAAGCTTTCCCCGAAGACGCAGTAAGCCTCAAGGAGGGCGCGAGGGCTTCTGAGAGTCCCCGCCGCCTTCTGAGAAGGCCTTCTCCTTCTCACTTCCCCCCCTTCGCTCGCCGCCGAGCGTTGCCGACACATGCTGGCGCGCTCCGGGTGGGTGGCCACCGAGCTGAGCGGATCCGTCCGATCAGTTCAGTGGTCGAGCACCAGACGCGCCAGGGACCCGCCCTCCCAGACACCCAGCGTCTCGAGAAAATCGAGACGGCCCGTTTTTCTCTGTCTTCGGCCTCCGGAGGCCGTTTTTGTTTTGGCCCGGGGGCTCTTCAAATAACGATTCGGGACGACAGACTGCTTCGGGACGACAGACTGCTCCTGGCGAAGTGGTCGAGCGGTCCGGTGGCCTGCGTGCCTGCTCTTCCCTGCTGCAGCTCGTCGTCGTGGTCGTCCTCCTTCTGCTCCTGCCCCCGGATGCCGCTGCTCCCTTCGCCGTGCCCGCAGTCGCGCGGCCCATGGTCTCACAGGCACCACCCTCGCCCGCACCCTCGCCCACACACTCTTGGCGTCGGCGGCTAGGCAGAGGGTGACTGCGCTGGCGACGAATGGCGTGAACGGGGGTACCGTTGGGCCGAATGGTGCCACCATGCAGGAGGAGGAGGAGGGAGGAGGGACGCGGCCGAGGGAAAATAAGGACGGGGCGGGCGGCTCGGGGGTCAGAACGCTCCCCCAAACCCTCGCCCCCACACGCACCCCTCACAGTGGATCTTGGCAGACGCTCTGCACGGCCGCAGGGCTGGTCGTCACGCGCAGCACGAGAGGAGGTCGTACAGGTAGGCGCGGGCGTGGGCCTCTGCCGCTCGTGCATGCCCAGGTCGCTGGAACGACTGCAAGGAGTGCCGGTGGCTCGAGTTCGAATGCAAGAAGATCTGTCACGACAAACTCCGCGAGGAAGGCCAGGCTTCTTCGTCTCGTGGCCTTCGCCGTCCATCCTATTCTGGCTCCTCTTCTGTCCTGCAAGGGGTCCTCTCCGCCTGGCCTCTCGTGGGGCCTTTACAGGCAAGAGCACCATCGCACCGCGAGGCGAGCGAGCAAGTGCTCTGGAGGGCCAGACAAGCTCAGTGCGGCGGTCCTGTCCTGGCTTCGTCATCGCCGCCATTTTTCTTGTTTTGTTCTCTTTCTCTTTTTCTTTCTCCCTCTCTCTCTATATGTGGCTCATGGCATTCTGGCTTAAACCGTTTTTGATCAAGCCCGCCCACAGTCATACAGTCAATACACTGAAACAAGGCCCACTTTGGGCTCGGGAGGTGCTCAGGGCCAGGGATCCTATCCGTGGCTGGGGCTCTCAGTGGCCAGAGGAGCCCCTTCGTTCCTCATTCAGCGTTCGTTATGGTAGCACGATGACTGGAGTGTGTCAAGCCAGTCAGGCTCGATGTCGAGGCGGGGTCAATGCAGGATCTCCGCACAGGGGTAACCTACTCAGGCTCAATCCTTTCGCACCCAGTGGTGGCGGCTGCTGCTGCTTCAGGACCGACCAGTATGGAGGGAGTGGGTCAGGTTTAACCGGCCTTCTGGTGCAGCCTTCGGCACCATGTCGTTCGCGAAGAAGCGTGCCGAGGAGCAACAGTTGAAATAAAGGCATCAGCGCCTTCTGCGGGGCATGATTGCTGGCTCTCAGGCCGCACTCCAGGAAGGGCTTAAGGAGGTCAAGGATGCGCTCCAGTCGGTGGATGTCAAGATAAACCAGGAGGAGCTTGAGACAACGGAGGAGAGGTTGGATAAGTCGGAGCAGAGAAAAAAAGCCAGGGATTCGGAACCTTCTCTGTCAGCGATTCTGTCCAAGGCCTTGGAGACAGCGAGGTTTTTACCTAACAGCGAAGACTGATAGGTTTCTAGTAGGGTCAAAAGAGAGCATCATGACGCCCCAGGGGGGTCTGGGCGCGATCCGGGGAAGTGCCGGGGATTTTTTTTAGCCAACAGTTACACACTTCGTGGTCTTCGAGGTCCCAGAACTCCATTCCCGGGCCACATTCTAAATGCCCGGAGCCAACTGTAGGCCACTTCGTGGTCTTCGAGTTCCCAGAACTCCATTCCCGGGCCACATTTTGAATGCCCCGAGCCAACTGTAGGCCACTTCGTGCTTCGAGTTCCCAGAACTCCATTCCCGGGCCACATTTTGAATGCCCGGAGCCACTGTAGGCCACTTCGTGCTCTTCGAGTTCCCAGAACTCCATTCCCGGGCCACATTTTGAATGCCCGGAGCCAACTGTAGGCCACTTCGTGTCTTCGAGTTCCCAGAACTCCATTCCCGGGCCACATTTTGAATGCTGATGCAGGCTGATGCTGAGGCTGAGGCAGGCTGAGGCTGAGGCAGGCTGAGGCTGAGGCCGAGGCTGAAGGCAGACTGAGGCTGAGGCTGAAGCAGACTGAGGCTGAGGCTGAGGCAGGCTGAGGCTGAGGCTGAAGCAGGCTGATGCTGAGGCAGGCTGAGGCTGAGGCTGAGGCTGATGCAGGCTGAGGCTGAGGCAGGCTGAGGCTGAGGCCGAGGCTGAAGGCAGACTGAGGCTGAGGCTGAAGCAGGCTGAGGCTGAGGCTGAGGCAGGCTGAGGCTGAGGCTGAGGCAGGCTGAGCTGAGGCAGGCTGAGGCTGAGGCTGAGGCTGAGGCTGAGGCTGAGGCTGAGGCTGAGTGAGGCAGGCTGAGGCTGAGGCCGAGGCTGAAGGCAGACTGAGGCTGAGGCTGAAGCAGGCTGAGGCTGAGGCTGAGGCAGGCTGAGGCTGAGGCTGAGGCAGGCTGATGCTGAGGCAGGCTGAGGCTGAGGCTGAGGCTGATGCAGGCTGAGGCTGAGGCAGGCTGAGGCTGAGGCCGAGGCTGAAGGCAGACTGAGGCTGAGGCTGAAGCAGGCTGAGGCTGAGGCTGAGGCAGGCTGAGGCTGAGGCTGAGGCAGGCTGATGCTGAGGCAGGCTGAGGCTGAGGCTGAGGCTGATGCAGGCTGAGGCTGAGGCAGGCTGAGGCTGAGGCCGAGGCTGAAGGCAGACTGAGGCTGAGGCTGAAGCAGGCTGAGGCTGAGGCTGAGGCAGGCTGAGGCTGAGGCTGAGGCTGAGGCAGGCTGATGCTGAGGCAGGCTGAGGCTGAGGCTGAGGCTGATGCAGGCTGAGGCTGAGGCAGGCTGAGGCTGAGGCCGAGGCTGAAGGCAGACTGAGGCTGAGGCTGAAGCAGGCTGAGGCTGAGGCTGAGGCAGGCTGAGGCTGAGGCTGAGGCAGGCTGATGCTGAGGCAGGCTGAGGCTGAGGCTGAGGCTGAGGCTGATGCAGGCTGAGGCTGAGGCAGGCTGAGGCTGAGGCCGAGGCTGAAGGCAGACTGAGGCTGAGGCTGAAGCAGGCTGAGGCTGAGGCTGAGGCAGGCTGAGGCTGAGGCTGAGGCTGAGGCTGAGGCTGAGGCAGGCTGAGGCTGAGGCTGAGGCTGAGCAGGCTGAGGCTGAGGCAGGCTGAGGCCGAGGCTGAAGGCAGACTGAGGCTGAGGCTGAAGCAGGCTGAGGCTGAGGCTGAGGCAGGCTGAGGCTGAGGCTGAGGCAGGCTGATGCTGAGGCTGCTGAGGCTGAGGCTGAGGCTGATGCAGGCTGAGGCTGAGGCAGGCTGAGGCTGAGGCCGAGGCTGAGGCCGAGGCTGAAGGCAGATTGAGGCTGAGGCTGAAGCAGGCTGAGGCTGAGGCAGAGGCAGGCTGAGGCAGGCTGAGGCAGGCTGATGCTGAGGCAGGCTGAGGCTGAGGCTGAGGCAGGCTGAGGCTGAGGCTGTGACTGCGACGGCCGTTGCCGCTGCGACTGCCATCGCGAATGCGACTACGACTGCGAGAACAGCAGATTTCTACAACAGGATTCTCATCTGAATCTTAAGGGGAATGCTTCCAGATATGCTCCTACACACCGCTGTTAGGTTGCTTTGCCGGGATAATTCCAAGCACATCAAGGGAGAGCTCACCCGCATGAACATCGCAGGCGCTTCTGATGTGCGTGGTTTGTGCACGTGTGGGGACCAGTCTAAGATCCACTTTCCAGTCAGATACCACATGTGTGGTTCTTGACGGTAATGAAGTGCAGTCTTTTCATCTCACAGCTCCCCGCTGCATTCGATCGCGACAAGCATTCGCAGTGGCAACTGCACCGGCACGTTGGGATGGGAGATTGGACTGGCCAGGGCCAAGCAGCAGATCGATGCCCAGACGTTGATGGCGGAGGCCATGGTGGCGGTGAAGGGTGGCAATCTGGATTTGGAGAGCGCCAAGCAGATGATCGGTACCGGGAGCGATTATGTGGACCTGGGGGCGCTGAGGGAGCACGGCCGTGAAGATATTTGAGCAGGACAATATTGCCCACTTCCTCGGGATCGTGAATGGAGCCTCAGACGATGCACGAGGGCTTTCGGTGGACTGTCAACATGGAGGAGCTCGCGCCAGACGTGCACGCTGCGGCCCGTGTGTGGGATCCTTCTCGGAAGATTCGGGCATTGGCTTCAACGGGACCGGGGTAAACATTCTATTGCTGTTTTGCGGGATCTTCGGGGTGTTCTTTTAGCGGCGTTGCATGTTTGTTTCCGAGTGGGCGCGTGGCTTCGATTGGCCATGTTGCTGACTTCAACAGTTATTCAATCTCCCGACAGGCACATCCAGCTATTTCAATTCATGGCCACGCTGTCTACTGGTGTTGTCCTGTATTGTACGAGAAGCCAGGAAGGCTCGGCGTTAATGCGGACTTTTGGGCCTAGCATTCCTGAGAGCGTGGCAGGGGTACATTGCCTCCGTCTGGAGCAGGGCACAAACCTGCATGGAACCATGCAGCCTTATCCTTGCACTTGCAAGGTAGGGCGCTATACCGTTTTTGATACCTATACGACCACCCTTCGGGTGATAAGGAGGTTGTGGGGGAGGGGGGAGGGGGGGAACCAACATCTGACTCAATCGACCTCACTATCGATCTCACTCAACGGGACACTACGGGACACCACGGGACACCACGGGACGCCACGGGACACTTGTCGATCTCAGTATCGATCTCATCATCGATCTCACTCAACGGGACACCACGGGCCACCACGGGCCACCACGGGCCAACACGGGCCACCACGGGACACCTCGGGACACCTCTCGATCTCACTATCGATCTCATTATCGATCTCACTATCGATCTCACTCAACGGGACACCATAGGACACTATAGGACACCACGGGACACCACGGGACACCTCGGGACACCACATCGATCTCACTATCGATCACTATCGATCTCACTATCGATCTCACTCAACGGGACACCACGGGACACCACGGGACACCTGTCGATCTCACGATCGATGCCACTTTTTGGGACACCACGGGACACCACGGGACACCTCGCAGCACCACATCGATCTGAGTATCGATCTCACTATCGATCTCACTATCGATCTCACTCAACGGGACACCACGGGACACCACGGAACGCCACGTGACATTTGTCGATCTCTCAACGGGACACCACGGGTCACCACGGGCCACCACGGACCACCACGGGACACCACGGGACACCTCGGGACACCTCTCGATCTCATTATCGATCTCACTCAACGGGACACCACAGGACACCATAGGACACTACGGGACACCACGGGACACCTCGGGACACCACATCGATCTCACTATCGATCACTATCGATCTCACTGTCGATCTCACTCAACGGGGCACCACTGGACACCACTGGACACCTGTCGATCTCACGATCGATCCCTTTTTTTGGGACACCACGGGACACCACGGGACACCACGGAACACCACGGGACATCGCGTGACATCACGGGACACCGCGGGACACCGCGAGCCACCGTCGGACGGGCGGGAGGGGGATAATCATTTGTCTTGACTTCGCCCTAGCAACGGCGGACGCCGCGGGACACCACGGGACACCAAGGGACACCGCGGGACACCGC